CGCATTTTTCACATTTGGGTCAATCGAACACCTAGAATTCTCAAAAGGATCTGTTGCAGTTGCGTTCAAGGGAGTTGAGTTGGAGAAACTGGAAGAATTCCCAAGACTCAGATTGCCGAACACTTAGCAGCAGTGTGGAGGAACGATGCCAATTCTCAAGTCGGGATTCATTTGATGAGACCCGGCCACACATTCAAATTTGACGAGGCCGAAGGCGAACGTCAGGTACCGAAGAATGAGCCGATTTAACAACAGGAAACGTCTTGAGTCGTTTACCAGGTCTGGTGTAATTGCAAAAAAAGTATTTAAATCGAAGTATCTATGAGACTGGTCCGGACGCGAATAATTGTACGTCACGGTTCGTTCGACTGGAGTCGACTATACTTTCGAATGTAACCAGGCCAAAATGGTCATAAGAAGTCACAATTGCAAGCTGCTTAATTCATATATTCCCACTCCACAGTCAATCCGCAAGCACAACAACTTTTTCTCCCTATATTCGATAATAAAGACCTTATCCACGTAGAGTACTTAGTCACTCAAAGAAAGCGAAAACGAAAATTACTTCCGATAACAATATCGGACAGCCAAATGGCCAAAAACTTGACACACTAATAACACCGGTGGTGAAATTTCTGCAGGTGAGGCCTGCATTGTGGTCGACTGTACCAAGCTTGGTAATCCGCGGCGAATGCGGTAACCATTAGTTCTACTAGACATGCAGTCATTTAGTCCACCAGGCCTACGACGCGTGTGACTAATAGATACGTGCAAGACTTTCGGTAGGACAAATAGCACAGGCCCCCTCTGAATACCTTAAAGTCTTCAGTCAACAGTATCGGTTAAGATAGAATAGCCTGCATCTCGAATTCCACTTCGCAGTTTCCATGAATTCAGATACAGAAGCGTTGCTGGCAACGTTGGCGATACCTGTGACGAAAGGGACACAGAGCTTAGGTGAGGCAATGTGGTCATTTCTGGCTCACTCAGCTAGTCGAAAGACGTCAAATATGAACTTCTCCAGCTTGTAGGCGTTCGGTTCGGTTGGCTGGACCATCTCGCCGGTAGCTGTATCCAGATACGGCACCTTCTTGCGTGCAATATGGTAGGTCAGCTGGACCTCGGCATCTGGACTGCAAACCCGCTCCAGGAAAGCCCGCGTCATAAAGTGGTTGCAAATGTTGCCCAGAGAGTAGAGAAGACGGGGTGTTGGAGATGTCGGGTGCACCAGTTTTGACGGATCACCACAGCCCTCGGGAAAACCGTTCCAACTGATGCGACCCGAGGGAATGGGAAGTAGTTGGGCAGCCGTAGAGGGTGAGATTTCCGAGTACTCAATAACCTACAGGCAGGCAGTACGGAAAATGTGTTTAATTGGAAGTAAGACATCATATTAGACATTATATTGCTACTTTAGCTAAGTGAGTAGACATGTATAATTACTCTTTTAGGTTAGCAACAACTGCATACTTTTTGCCTCCAATCATGCAATTTACGTCTTTTTTGAATTTGTCTTTTGTATCGATACATTACCTAGCCATTTGATTACAAATAGGGAGCTCAAAGACGTTCGCTCACTTTTCCTTAGTAAAACTGAACTAAATATTCGGCGTTGAACACAGTACAGCAACGAAGCGACTAGTGATCACCCACCGTTAGGCCTTAAAGTGCCTGATTCAATTAAAGTAAAAAAAAAACATTCAAGCTGGGGAAATTGTAGGTGGCTTTAGGCGCCTACGAGGGATTTCCCGCTGTGTACAAAGATGGATGGTATACATTATCCGGTATGTTAATTTAGTAACCGTTTCGTCTCTTGACTT